GGGGGGGGGAGACGGGACAGTTAGTATGAGAAGTGAGAAGACACCATGAGAATGAGAAGATACAACATCCCCCCCCCCCATAATGGTCACTACAGGGGGCATGGTCAGTGCACCTCCCCTGATGCCTGTAGACTCCAGCTTTCATCCTGATTCCTGACATCCCTCTACCATCCTAGTAGGTTCTTCTGCCAAAACGGTCAACCATCTTGGTGGAAACACTCAGCCATGTCCTCACCTACAGTACCCAAACTGGCATATCACCAACCGCCATCCAGACTTAATATGGAGGACAGTCCACCGCCTCACATGCCTACAGCCTCCACCTAACCTTCGCCCATCTAACCTCAACATCCATCTTCTATCCAGAGAGCCTCCACCTTGAATCAGCCTGCGCTCCTCTAACCAGAATAACTTTATCTACCTGTGTATCAGCCCCCATTTTGCAATTGTTCTTCTCCAGAGTGCCTCCATCTTGTAATAGGCCATCTACAGACAGGCTCCATCTGGCAATTGGTTATCTGCGGACAGCCTACATGAAAGTGGTCATCTCAGGACAGCCAAAAGCTTGTAATTGGTCGTCTTTGGATAGCCACCATCTTGTAGTTGGTCATCTCTGGGCAGCCACCATCTTGTAGTTGGTCATCTCTGGAAAAGTCACCATGTTGTAGTTGGTCATCTCTGGACACTCACCATGTTGCAGTTGGTCATCTGTGGACAGCCTCAATCTTGTAATTGGTCATCTGTGGACAGCCACCATCTTGTAGTTGTTCATCTCTGGGCAGTCACCATCTTGTAATTGGTTATCTTTGGATAGCCACCATCTTGTAATTGCTCATCTCTGGGCAGTCACCATCTTGTAATTGGTCATCTTTGGATAGGCACCATCTTGTAGTTGGTCATCTCTGGGCAGCCACCATCTTGTAGTTGGTCATCTCTGGAAAAGTCACCATGTTGTAGTTGGTCATCTCTGGACACTCACCATGTTGCAGTTGGTCATCTGTGGACAGCCTCAATCTTGTAATTGGTCATCTGTGGACAGCCACCATCTTGTAGTTGGTCATGTCTGGGCGGTCATCATCTTGTAATTGGTTATCTTTGGATAGCCACCATCTTATGGTTGGTCATCTCTGGACAGTCACCATCTTGTAATTGGTCATCTGCGGACAGCCTCCATCATGTAGTTGGTCATCTCTGGACAGTCACCATCTTGTAATTGGTCATCTGCGGACAGCCTCCATCATGTAGTTGGTCATCTCTGGACAGTCACCATCTTGTAGTTGGTCATCTCTGAACAAGTCACCATGTTGTAGTTGGTCATCTGTGGACAGCCACCATCTTGTAGTTGGTCATCCCTGGACAGTCACCATCTTGTAATTGATCATCTGCGGATAGCCTCCATCATGTATTTGGTCATCTCTGGAAAGTCACCATCTTGTAGTTGGTCATCTCTGAACAAGTCACCATGTTGTAATTGGTCATCTGTGGACAGCCACCATCTTGTAGTTGGTCATCTCTGGACAGCCTCCACCTTGTAATTGGTCATCTGTAGACAACCACCATCTTGTAGTTGATCATCTCTGGACAGTCACCATGTTGTAGTTTGTCATCTCTGGACAGTCACCATGTTGTAGTTGGCCATCTGTGGACAGCCTCCATCTTGTAATTGCTCATCTCTGGACAGCCACCATGTTGTATTTTGTCATCTCTGGACAGCCTCCATCTTGTAATTGGTCATCTCTAGACAGCCGCCATATTGCTGGCCCAGCACCCTTCACTTAAACCACTTCACCTTTCCAGGTCTCTTGTCCTACAACCGGAGCTTCCATTTTGTAACTTGCGTTTCCAACTTGTGCTTAGGTCTTGCCGCGGTCCTGCTTTGTTTCCACCACATCTACATATGAAATGAATGGGGAAAATGATTTCTGATTGGTTCGTTTTGACAATTTTGCATTTCCTGCAGAAGGCTGGTAGCCTCAGAGAGTGGTGTGGGTGCAACCATTGTACAATGTTGCATCCTATCAGTGAGATATATTATTAGCAGTGACTGCCTGTTACGTCCTAGGTCTGGAGACTGTATATGATTTTGGTGCCTTTCCCCAGATGGAACCTTAGGATTGGCTATTTCCATCTCCAGGTGGATTGTGAAAGACCTGGAACCCAATTGGCACATTGTTAGGTGTAATATGTAGCCGTATTTCATGGCTGAGTGTTTTTACCAGTTGACCATCATTGTACAATCATATTTTTCCTAGGATTCCCCCTCCCCCCCATATTATCCACCATGGCCTTACCTTCTAGGCCCCTGCGGTCACCACCGTCTGCCATTCCTCGCCAGTGCACCCCAGCCATGTTGTCCTCGTTTCTGGTGTACATGTTGTTGATGGATATGGGTGGACATTGCTTCCCCATCTTCACCGTCATGGCTGACAGTGTGCCGGGTCGGTGATCATTTCGTGCCCACAGTTTATGTGGGGCTTCCGGTGTGTCCAGCTGTAGCTTCATATCGGGTTTCTGAATTCCCCTCACTGGCCCGTTGTTGCCCTCTTGTAATCCTTGTTCCCGCTCATCGCTCTCTCTCGTGGAGTCTTGGAGGTTCCTCTTGTCTATGAAATAAGGGGAACTTTTTTGCAACTCTGTTTTTAGCTGTACCTCTGCAGGGTCTGTGACCCCCTCAGCTGAATCTTGGGGCCCCTTGGCCACGGTGCTGGGAGCTTTTGCCTGTTGACTGATTTGCTTGTTGACAGAATTGCGATATCTCAGTTCCCTGAAGGTGGTGACCTCTTTTCCTTCTGGTAGAGGTTGAGCTTGGGGCATCACCAGCCCATGGTAGAAAGCTGAGGCTGTGAGTTCATTGACAGGCGGGTGCTCAACATCGGGAGAAAAAACTATAAGCCAATCGCTTTTGTCTTTCTTCGGCTGTGGAAGACCCCCGCTCTTCCGCCTTTTTTGGGCAAGTTCATGGAAGGAGGTGATCGTCTTCTTTGGGGTTTCTGTAGAAGAATCTTCTGGCGCAGAGAGGCTTGGAAGAAGGTCTCCATCCAAAGGCCATTGGGGAACACTTGTTTGGTTTGCATTGGCAATGTCCTCTTTTTCTACAGTGTCTGGTTGAGGCTTTGGACTCACGATGGCATCCACATCCACGTAGGCATAACACATTGATAGTTGACCAGGTTGCTGAATGTCTGGGAAGGCATTGCAATTGCTGTCTAAGTCCGTATCTGAGCTCCAGTCAATGAATGGGACATCTTCCATATCCATGTTGTTGTTGATTGTGTTCTCTGGCATCTTTGCCCTCAACTCAGAAGCCAGTGCATTGTTGGCCGTTGGGTGTGAAGCATCTATGGAGTCATTGAGGGCAGGAAAAGGTGAGTTCTCTGTCTCCACATCAAGAGGAATAATGTCCGGCTGCTGGTCTGGTGTTTCCAGGCCATCTTGAGCATACTCCTTGTAGTATATAGACACTGGGGAATCATCCAACGTGAAATCGGAAGAGCTGCTGCTGTCTGTCGATGGACATGACGGAGAGAGGGGGCTAAGTGGCAGCTCATCTGGAGACAGATAATCATCACACATAATGGTCTCCAGATTCTCATTTGACCTGTACTTTATGGTCTCTGCATGGCTGGAATGATGGTCACAGCACTGGCATGGCACAGTTGGATCATTGGAATTGGCGTCCACCAGTACCATATCTGAAGTGTCTTTATAGTGGTGTTGATGGGCAGGCACATCTTTTAGACCCGTGCCCTGACCCACCGGGCCTTCCATCATTTCAGGCCGCATCGACAGGTGAACCCCAAGAGACACATGCTGCAGGTGGACATAATTCAGGTTGCTGATGAGGGCTTTTCTAGAGGTCAGCATCTTGTGATCAGTCCCGAAGGCTCTAACTCAATGGAAATGTTGACCGAGCTTGGAGCTAGTCACCAAGAATCATTGTCATGGCGAAGAAAGTGGCCAAAGTCTCTACCCATGGATACTAGAGTCCTTCATCAGAGGAGCTGTCTCATAAAGAATGGGTTCTTTCTATCCAGAGAGGGAGTTTTGTTTCTTTTGGGACAACCTGCATGAGAGAAGACAAGAACCAGGCAGGTCCAACAGAGGTTATTCATCCTATCCCCATCATCAGGAACTACAAACACAGGACATCGTGGGGTAACGTCGTGTGACAAGACAAACGAAAACTACGGCTGGTGGACAAGATACAACTGCACGGAGGACCAAGACCAAATGGCATCTCCAAAACAAGGTGATACACAAGTGTGATGGTGTACAGACTAGGATATGAGTGGAAACCACAGAGACAACATTACGAGAAGAACATCAACTGATGACGTTGAAATGTTCACTGTCCTCGGTTCTCTACTTCCTAACTGTGTTTACAGTATTTTATCCCACAAGCTGTGATAGTTGAGGGTCACAGATGGTATATTTCCCAGAGTGGGACCCCATACCACCTTCTGTGCAATGATTTCCGACCCCTCAGCCTCCCATCTTCCACCCCGCCTAATCTGCATGAAAGTGTCTGAAGATGATGGGAAATGGGGAGGGCTGGTCCCGATGTCTCCTGCATGGTATTATTTCAGCAGATTGTACATGATTTCCTCTCCGCTCATTAATAATTCACAAGTTTCAGTTTATTAATAGTCAGATCTCCAGTGTGAACACCTCTCCGAAACCAGACACCATTGTTTCAACTGTTACCGGTCTATTGTAATTTCTGGATAACACAGAACTACCTCACCCTCACTGCTCCCTGGTGAGCTCTCTCTCTACTCTCTGCCTCACCCTCACTTCTCCCTGGTGAGCTCCCTCTCTTCCCTCAACCTCACCCTCACTTCTCCCTGGTGAGCTCCCTCTCTACCTCACTTCTCCCTGGTGAGCTCCCTCTCTTCCCTCTACCTCACCCTCACTTCTCCCTGGTGAGCTCCCTCTCTACTCTCTACCTCACCCTCACTTCTCCCCTGTGAGCTCCCTCTCTACTCTCTCTATCCCACCCTCACTTCTCCCTGGTGAGCTCCCTCTCTTCCCTCTACCTCACCCTCACTTCTCCCTGGTGAGCTCCCTCTCTTCTCTCTACCTCACCCTCACTTCTCCCTGGTGAGCTCCCTCTCTTCTCTCTACCTCACACTCACTTCTCCCTGGTGAGCTCCCTCTCTACCTCACCCCCATCCCCTCTCTTCCATTCCCTATTAACTCTTTAGGAAGGAAAAACATGTCATCTTAGTAACCTACAGGTATTGCGTCCCAGAAAAACTCTTCCCAGATTCAGTGACCCACCTCACACCCTTCACTGGATTCAGTGACCCTCCTTACTCTTTTCCCTGGAAAAGTGACCCATCCCACTCCCTTCCCTGAAACAGTGACCCATCTCATTCCCTTCTCCAGCACAATGACCCACCTCACCCTCTTCCCCAGACGCAGTGACCCTCCTCACACCCTTCACTGGATTCAGTGACCCACCTTACTCTTTTCCCTGGAAAAGTGACCCATCTCACTCCTTTCCCTGAAACAGTGACCCATCTCATTCCCTTCTCAAGCACAATGACCCACCTCATCCTCTTCCCTGGATCTAGCGACCCATCTCATTCCCTTCTCTGGCATAGTGACCCACCTCACTCCCTTCCCTGGATTCAGTGACCCTACCCAGCACCTTCCGTCACAGTAACCTACTTCACCCTTTCCCCAGCTCCAATGACCCACCTCACCCTTTTCCTAGATCCAGTGACCCACCTCACATTTTCCCTGGATCCAGTGACCCACCTCACCCCTTCCCTGGATCCAGTGACCCAAACTCACCCCCTTCACCAGATCTATTGATCCACCTCACCCATTCCCTGGATCCAGTGACCCACCTCACATTTTCCCTGGATCCATTGACCCAAACTCACCCCCTTCACCAGATCTATTGATCCACCTCACCCATTCCCTGGATCCAGTGACCCACCTCATCTTTTCCCTAGATCCAGTGACCCAAACTCACCCCCTTCACCAGATCTAATGTTCACCTCACTCACATTTCCGGATTCACTGACCCGTCTCCCCCTTCCCTGTGTTCTATTCTGACTCCTCCACTTCCTTCGGTGCAATGTCACCACCCACACATATAGGAACTACAACACCTGTCAGATACAGACTATCACACCAGCCATATCTCCCCTCTAGATACATGTCCTACTCCATGTAAACACCTCACATATGACATATACACAGGATGGAGCATACATGTTACCAGCACATGACATATAATACACTGGGATGTAAACATGTCACATATACAGCCTCTGATATGTACACGCAGGATGGACGATAACACAGAGCTCATGGTGTATATATATATAGATATATATTTATATATATCTATATATCACTCCCAGGATGTAAACATATCACACACATATTGTATCAGATCATAGACATGATGCAGCTGATGGGCGGTGAAGGGTTCGTTCTGTAGCTCTGCAGAATTTTGGGGGATCTCATTGTGCCATCCGTACATCCTGTCACCCCAAAACTCATTCATCCCCCCCACCCCAAACACATCACTCCCCCATCACCTTCACATCCAGCGGGTACCGCAGCATCCAGAATGAGGGTGGAGACATCTGCCTGCATCCAGGGGGAGGAGGGGAGGACAAGGCTGACATCAGCATCCGAGGAGGGGGGGAGGGGGTATACTCAGTTATCAGCTGACGGATGTGAATTCCCCGGATGGATCTCAGTGCAGACAATCAAGTCATCCTAAGATTACCCGGCCAGGCCAGAGGAAGGCAAACACACAGCCCTATCCTAGCTGCCTAAACACAGAGTGGCAATGGGGGAGCCGGAGGAGGGGCAGTGCTACAAACATCCATTATCCCCATCCGTCTTCTTCATCCATCTTCTTCATCGAATTTTCGATTTGCATTGGTGAGCTCCAGATGATTGCCATTCGGGTCCAGGCTTTAGTTTTATACATATTTGGGTCACATTGTTGCCGCTACGAATATTCGTTCTTATTATAGAATATTATATACAAATAATACTAAAACTGAGGCTCCAAGAGCCGAATGAAGTCCCAATTTCCCAATAGCATCCGAGAGCTCCCCAATGCCATTCGGGTCTGGGAGCCTCAGCTTTAGTAATATATGTATATGGCTCCCAGACCCGTATTGCTCTCTAGAGCTCCCCAATGCCAAGTCTGGGAGCCTCAGCTTTAGTATTAACACACTATATTACCAAAAGTATTGGGACGCCTTTACATGCACATGAACTCTAATGGCATCCCAGTCTTAGTCCGTACGGTTCAATATTGAGTTGGCTCCGCCCTTTGCCGCTATAACAGCTTCAACTCTTCTGGGAAGGCATCCACAGGGTTTAGGAGTGTGTCTATGGGAATGTTTAACCATTCTTCCAGGAGCGCATTTGTGAGGTCGGGTACTGATGTTGGACGAGAAGGCCGGGCTCGCAGTCTCCGCTCTAATTCATCCCAAAGGTGTTCTATCGGGTTGAGGTCAGGACTCGGTGCAGGCCAGTCAAGTTCCTCCACCCCAAACTCCCCCATCCATGTCTTTATGGACCACCCCCCCAGAGGACCGACAAAAAGCTGTTGTGTAGGGCAGTCAGAGTATCTTGTTACACCAAAGCTCGCAAAAGGAGAAGCTCTTGTAACATCTGAGAGTTCCCCTTAAACCTCCAGAAAATCTCTGCAAGCCTTACTGGGAGAGCCATTCAGATCTATCTTCTGTGCATTGAACTGGACTCTGTCAGAACTTATGAACCCAGGACTGTTAAAGGAGAACTATGGGGTTAAGGCTTTTCCCCATAGTTCTCCTTAGGGTAACGGGAGGACACAAACTAGCGTCCTCCCGTCACCCTAGGCTCAGTATACCGTGAGCTGTAGCTCGCGGTATACTGAGACGCCGCAGTATACCGCAAGCTGCTGCTCGCGATATACTGAGACGCTGAAGCGGATACCGACAATTGTGCCGGGATCCGCCCAGCTGCGTGACTGACAGCTGGCTCTGCCTATCTAGAGGCAGAGCCAGCTGTACCCGCCCGATCCACCAGTCAGTGCTGGCGGATGTTTATTCCCTTTTATTTTCCTGGTATTTCTGTCTCTTTGTTAACATATTTTTCTGTATATTTTTTCCTGCACCGTTTCCTTTTATTAAAGGACGATGTGTGTAAAGGGTTAACTGCGGAGTTAACCAACCCTAGTGATGGTCTCTGTCAGTCTGCTGGTCTGAAATTGGTGTCCCGCGAGCTGGGAAATCTCTGTGCAGGGTGAGGCTGAGTGGTATTACCATGTCCTTGTGATGGCTCGGTATGTTCAAAGCTGCAATAAGTCGCGGGTTGGTGACGTACAGTGGGTTCCAACTTGCCGCATCTGTCACAGTGGGAATCCCCCGTAATGGGCACAGCAGATGTACAGACCCGGGAACTCAGCACAGGGATGGTGGGAGCTCCTCATAATGGGCACAGCAGGCGTACAGACCCGGGAACTCAGCACAGGGATGGTGGGAGCCCCTCATAATGGGCACAGCAGGTGTACAGACCCGGGAACTCAGCACAGGGATGGTGGGAGCCCCTCATAATGGGCACAGCAGGTGTACAGACCC